ACATTCAACATTATTCATTGATATATATTTTTTAAGTAAATAATTACTCTCTTGTTAATGTAATTGAAAACTTTTATTATCTGATTGAGGTACAATATTTTTTTCAAGAGAGTAGCCTTTTGAGGGGATCCAAGCAACTGAATAGACAATATCTTTAAGTTGCATGCAACTTATTATTGCATTACATTTGAACTTTGAGGATAATTTTCTTTTCACTGATGGTTCCATAAAATTTCTGATGCATTTAGAATTGACAAAAAATATGTGTTTGCAAATGGTTTGAATGGGTTGCTTATATGCGATTACAATTGCCATAATTTCTTATCAACATCTAATTATACCTGTAATCAAGGCAAAGATAGTATTCTATGTAATGATGTTTAGGGAGCATTTTCTTATGCGTTTGTATTATAATAATGGATGTTTAAAATTTTTTATGTACTTAACTTTGTCATATATTTAATTTTTTTAAAGTACATGCAATGATAGGCATGAAAAATGATGGTTATAGGACTATTGCATTCATGGGATAAAATGAAATTTGAGTAGTTAAAATTCATGAACTACAACGTAATGACACGTATTAATGTTATAATTGAACGAAATGCGTACAAAAAATGGTAAATGGTTCTTTTCACTCTTACTTATGCTTAGGTTTTTTTTATAATATTTTGCCGGTACAAAAAAAAAAGAAGAGAAATATCAACTCATTAACACAATAATTCGTTAACTATCTACTAAATAAAATATTTCTTTTGGAAGATGGGAACACTGATTTTGTTCCAAATGAAGAATAAAAGGAAAAAATCAAAAAAAAGAAGAAAAGAATGTAAGAAATAATCTTAGATCAAATGTGGGCCTCGCATTTAACCTAAACAAATGTTGTTTGAGAGGAGCGTGGGTAGCTTGTCTCTAGCAAAATTGAAACAAAAGAAAACAAGAAAAAAAGGGAAGAAATAATCTTAAATCAAAAGTGGGACCCGAAATGGATAATGTAGTTAAATCAAATCAATTCAATAGGTGTCAAGAGTCATTAAGGGTGTGGAAATATCGCAAGCCTTTTTTTAAGACTTAAATTATTGAGTTAAATTTTTGCTTACACACTCGCATGATGACCATTGCATGTTACTGGTTTAGGATTAAAATTGGCTAAGTTAGATTAATCTAGCATAAATATCCAAATCTATTGAATCTCTGGTTCGTAGTAAAATGTACTCTGACATTTTACTTGGCTATCTAATTAACCATAAATAATTAGTGACGACTTCATAAGGTAAGAAAATTGCATATTAAATCGAGTACCAAGTTGCGATTGGCAGAACTTGGGAAAGTTCTTGCTAAATGCGAGCGATTGCCTCATGAGAGGAACCTTCGTTCCCTTTTAGTAGTCCGTTAACTTTTCCTTGGTGATTCACCTTTGGAAAGGTCGCGACAAGTACTTAAAGTTCAATTTAATTGTTGTCATAAAACAAGTACGTAGAATAATGGCTATGAGTTCGTTAACTCCAAAATTGAGCAATTTTTAGCTCTCCTGGTATTATTCATTAGCGCTCATGCGCTGACACACCCCAATGAAATGGGGTTGTCGAATGAAAACATCGCCATTTGCTCAATGTTGCACGAGCATTACGTTTTCAAGCCAATCTACCGTTAGAATTTTAAGACGAAGACATTCTCACAGCAGCATATCTCATGAATTGGAGACCAACCAAAATCATCAATGGTAGAACGCCCTTTTAAAACCATTTGAGTATTTTTAATGTTTATGTTTTGGGCGCACTATCAATGTCAAGCACCAATTTTTAAGGGAAAATAGCACAAATAGTCTATAAACTTTGCCCTAATATATACTGTGGTCTCTAAACTTTAACTCAATGTTCAATATAGTCCCTAAACTTTTAATTTGTTCAATGTGATCTTTGAACTTTTGGTACATGTTCAATTAAGTTCCTAAACTAGATAATACAGAAACTAGATTGAATATTTACCAAAACTTTAGGGACCACGAATTAAAATTTCATGGATCACATTACTTATAGGGTTAAAGTTCAGGAATCACATTGCACCAATTAAAAGTTCATATTGCACATTGAGGTAAAGTTCAAGGACCCTTTGTGGAATTATTCCAATTTGTAAGTGCGCTTTGCGAAGAATTTTTATTGGACTATCCTTTTTTGCAACAGGGTTACAAAATTTTTTTATCTTGAAACTCAAAACGATTTATGTTAGCCGAAACGTCACTTTTCGAGAACATGATTTTCTAGGGCAACATGATAGATTCTCCTGCTTTGCCTATTCCCTACGCAGACGTTAGTGTGCCGAATCAATCCAAATTTTCTATACCAACACCGTATGTGCAAGATTCTTGACCAGTCATTGACTCCACCATTGCCGCCGATGCTCCCGCTAATGTGCCGACAAATCACCCATTGCGTCCTTCTCAAAGAGACACCCTTCACTAAATCTTATGCCGGTCACTGCCTTTTTCTCATGCATCACGGCTCATCATCTATTCTGATTTTAACTTATGTTGATTATATAGTTATCACAGGAAAATGAGCCACGGTTGATTATGCAAATGAAACAGTACTTACTTCTTGAGTTTTGTCTCAAGGATTTGGGTTCTCTAATATATTTTCTGGGCATCAAAGTGACTCGGTCCTCCCGTGTCATTTATCTTACTGTTTCGCTGGAATTTGACGAAATATCTTCACCGAAAGTTGTTTTTCGGTTTTTAATTAAAGTAGACAAGATCCTACTGGACAGGAAATATCATTGGTAAATAAGGAAATCAACAACTTCACTTCAGATAGCACTATACAAACACAAACTGTGCCAGAATTCAATAGATGACAAGGGCCTGGAAAATACAACCACTTTACAAGAACATAGCGCAAACAAATTATGTCGGAATTTAATCGACGATAAAGTTTGAAAACGCGATCGGAATTCAAACGCGAATCTAGGGACTACAGCTAAGAAATACGCTAGAATTTAATCAACGATGTGAGTGTAGAAATTAAAATTACAGTATAGGAAAGTAAAGATAATTGAAAATGGCATTTTTGTTTGTTTGTGTGGGGGCTCTCCAGTAAACGATTGATGATATTTATAGTGGTTCTGCCATAACCATTCATGAGTGGTTTTCTAGCGGTTGTATCAATGTTCCTCCATCCTCAAAAGTTTTGTACCCATGTTCTTACGCTGCCATGATCTTGTTTTTAAAAGGTTGCTCCTTTAAAAATGCGTGCTTCTGTTGCTCCACTGACTTTAATCACTTTGTTCTCAAATGACTTCAAACTTGTTACCGAATCTTAATGCCCTTTACGCGTTCAACTTTCTCCTGACGCCTTAACAGCTTACCAATTTCATTAATCGATATCTTTGTCGACCATCATTAACCATACACCGTCGTATATGGACAACTTATTGGTAGTAATCACCGATGTGTGCCGCTATTGATATTGATCCTTGTGGTTGTCAACAACGAGTCATGTGCTTGATAATATTTACGCTTTAGTTACGTGTCTATCTATATCGACAACCTGGTCACTTTTTGGTGCTAACACTTATGCCACAAAAATGTATTTGACCTTTTGAAGGAGTCTGGGCTTATTGGTGCTCGCATTGCTAATACTCCCGCGGAGTAGAATCTTAATTTGACAGATTCATAGGTGAAATATCGGAAGATCCATCTATTTATCGTTGTTTGGTATGAACGTGAACTTACTTACCATCACTCGACCACCTTCACTTTCGATATTTTGAGACAATCATGCATCAACCTCGGAAGATTCATTTAGATGTTGCACTTCGCCTCTTGCAATGTCTTAAGAAGAACCCTTGGAGAAGGTATTCTTCTTCTATCGTCTAGCCCACTAAAACTCATTGCCTACTATAACTCTGATATTGTACTATGACAAGTCGTTCTACTACCAGGCACTGCATTTTTTCCTGGGCTCAAGTTTCGTTCATGGAAAGGCGAAAAGCAGGCCATAGTATCTCTCGCCTCAGCGTAAGCCATCGTGGAATGACCATTGCAGCCCGTGTAATCATTTGGTTAAGCTTTCTATCCAAGGATCGTGACATTTCACTACTATCTTTCCACTCTACTGTGACAATCAAGCTCCTCGTAATATTGCCACTCCTCCAGCTTTCACAAGCACAATAAGCAGAATGAAATTGATTGTCATATTGTTTAGGAAAAATAACAAGCTGGCATTGGACAAAGTCTTACCATACCTACTATCAATTAAGCTGCTCATGGGCTTGGTGAGGCGCTAAGCAAGATCAATTTTTCTGTCTCCCAAGCCAATTGGTATTAAAAGCCTTCACATTCCAGCTGGAGGTGGAGCAATGGCTTATCATTCTAACTATTTAGACAAAGTCGGATCACTTTCACCTAGAGTTATATCATATTCTAATTTAAGAAGGGTGACGTAACTAAATTACTTACTCCCCCAAGTAACAACTTTACTGCTTTTCAGATAATTTCGTCAGATAAAATTATTATGCAGGATTCAACGCATCGAAGTTGCGAATAGTCCTTACATGATTTGGCTTCTCAAATAAGCAGAGCTTCTTTACCCATGTGATTCATGCGATCGGATTCCATAAGGGCTTTACCCATTTTATAAAAGGGTGCCTTTCCTCGTTGAAACTGCAAGTGAGCAATTAAAGCTTCATCTGCCCAAACTCCAATGACTATATTGGGAAGACGAGGTTGCTCTATGATATAACGTAAGGGCTGAGGCTCAAGCCCAAGCAGACTCTTCCTTCACCGAAATTTTCAAGTATTGTTTGACATGAAAGCCACGAAGATACTAGTCTTCTTCTTGCTCTGCTGCCTCTCTTCAAAGTCCGTATTGTCGAGCCCCGGGTGCTACAATGCAATCTTCAACTTTGGCAACTCTCTGAGTGATGCCGGAAACTTCCTTCTTACCGGGGCACTCGCATTTCCAGGCATCAAACATTTTTAAGTTCTCTGGGTGCAGAATGTGATGACTTCTTTAAGAAGCCTGTTTCTGGTTGGGGAGATAGGCGGCAATGACTACATCTTTCCCTTCATTTTTGGTAGAACCATTAAAAAGATACGTCCTCTCATGCCACAAGTCGTTGCAGCAATCACCCGTGCCATCCGGGTATCTTACACAGACTCACTTCGGCACGAACTTAACGTTACATTCACGTAATAACCAAAGACGAAGTTTGATTATGATAAACAAATGCCTGAATCATTACGTTTCTCTTGGGCATGTGCCTAACGTTTAAGATGATTACGTTGTATTTGACAATGATAAAGAAATGCCTTCATCTGCACACGGTTTGGAGAAACTTCTTATTCAATTGTTGTACGGAATGTAAATCCCTAAACTAATAACCAAAGACTAAGTTGAAATGTCACATAGGAGCATTGACAATTACTTAAATGGTGACATAATAAATTGGAGCTTTCTGTCTACCAAAAGAAGGTTCACTTTTTAATATTATACAACGATCTCCCTGGTGCATGAAGTAGTTCCCAAAAGTGATTTACGTGTGAGTGTGTATATATATATATATGATCCACATGATTTGTCTTGGTATTCATTTCTTATTTATTTTATTTCTCACTATTACCCTTTTTTGTTTTTTTTCTTGAGTCATCATAACCATAACAGATGCATGCTGATAGAAGAAGGGGTTGTGGATCTGGTGGTGCCGGGACAGTTTCCAATAGGCTGCACCTCCTTGTTTCTAACTTTGTTTCAAAGCGCTAATGAATCGGCATATGACCCAAGAACCGGATGTATCAAGCCTTATAATGTTTTCGCGAAGTATCACGCTAACTTCCTCAAGAAAGAATTGCAAATTATGAGAGAACAATACCCACATGCAAGAATCATGTTTGTTTACTATTATATTACCGTCATGTCTATCTATCGCACTCCAAAACACTATGGTGAGCCTTCTTTTCACTTATCTTTTTTTCCTCTCAAAATTCAGTATGCACGCATACTTTTTGCTTGAGCTAATAATCACATAATGAATCCTAGATGTTTGTCTTTTATTTTCCGCATATCACATTTATCACCATTCGTATAAGTAATCACTACATCACAAGAAAGCCAACTTTTTTTTCTTTTCTCCCCCACAATTTTCTCCCTTTACATCTAGAGTCAAGATTGTGCTTAATCACAGAGAGAAATTAAGGGTGGAATAATTGATGGAGATTTTAGTCCTTTTTTGGAAAATTGATTTAGAATCTTCCACAATAAGAAAGATTAATTTATATTTGGCTTATCTATTTTTTTTGTTGTAAAATGTAAGTAGTATTTATAAGTTGACGTACAGAAGTTTAGGGACATTCCCTAACATTACAAATAGAACTAAGATCACAAAAAAATGGAGTGAAAGAGTCTCCATATAGTAGCCAATATTTCATTTGTCCGGGATGGTCTAAAAGATTTGTAGTGCGAAGCTTGGCCTCTGATAAGTTTGCGAACTTTAGCCAAAATGATAAGGGCTTCATTTGACTTTTGTTAGAAGCGTCTACGATTACGCTCCATCCAAATGCAATATATGGTCGCTAGGAAAGATGTCACGCCCCGAACCCCAACGGGCTCGCGACACCCCTCGATGGTCAATCATTGAACGCGACGCCCGGGACGCGTCGCCAACCCAAACGAAACACCCAACGATAAAGGCAAGCGGAAGCGAAATTAAAACAACCTGCATAATAAAATATGACAAAGGGATAGCACAAAACAATAATTCCAAATACACAACATCAAAAGGGAATAGCGGTGGGGTATCCTACTTCGCTATACAAAAGAGGGGCACACAAAATATGGGGTAACTTGACCCGTCCTCCATCCCCGAGATACCCCGGTGTCGTCTCCAATCAATCACGGTCGCAGATCTGAAAATGGTTATATAATAACCGTGAGAACGAGTCTCAATAAGCAACCCCTATACCCCACATAGGCCAATGCGTACCTGCACAAGTCGTACATGCAATCTACCCGATTACATATATATAATTCACATAAATGGACTTACCTCGCCATCCAACCACATGCCCACACCGCACATTAGTCAAATCATAATAATGCAATAATAGTCAATGACACATCAAAATCATTTGAGCGCCATACACACGTACGTTCATCCAATTCAACCCAAACACATTTCACATGCGCATCCATCCAACTTTCACACGACCCGGTCAACACCCACGTGTCCGCCCTCCGATCAATCCGGCTCGTCCCGGTCAACACCCCACGGACCTTTCTTACTTTCACACGACCCGGTCAACACCCCACGTGTCGCCCTCCGATCAATCCGGGCTCGTCCCGGTCAACACCCCACGGGACCTTTCTTACTTTCACACGACCCGGTCAACACCCCACAGTCCTTTCTCACAACCCGGTCAACACCCTCGGTTGGCGCCCTCCGATCGATCCGGGCTTTTCTCATGCACATGCACCATAATACAAAATTCACCATGCTCTTAGTCATATAAATCAATTTCAATCACCACCCTTTCACTAATGTCAATCTCGCACGCCACATCAGTCAACTCAATTCATGCTCCCCACATCGGTCCACCGACCCGACATTCATGTCGGCACATTCAATTAATCCAATTCACCCACAAGCGCCACGACAATTCATGCGGCATATTTATCTAGTCAATCACTAAATTAGCCGCACAATTATCGCCACAATAATTCACCAATTAAGCACAATCGCATCTAATTAGCCCACGCCTAATTAAAGTCCTAAGCCGGTACTAAACACATCCTAAACAAGTCTAAAAATACCCAAAGTACTAGGTAGGGTTTAGGAAGTTACTTACTTGGTTTTGGCCCGGAGAAAATCGGCTCGGGCCTCAAAAACAAATGGCCCGGGTGAACAAAGGCCCTCCGAACTAGGCGCGGGCACGGGTCAAACTTTCACACGGCCGCGGTGGCCGGTCCTTTCTCATAACCCGGGCAACACCCTCAATGGCCTCCGGATCCGGGCTTGTCAAAGCATACACGCCACATAATTCAATCAATTTCATGGCATTCACACGTTCAAATATCACCCAAATGTGTCCAGACAACCATAATGCAATTCACCATACTAGCACATTAAAAATAGCCACGATCCCACCAATTAAATTCACGCTTGCGCACCAACAAGCGGTCATCCAAAGGATGGCAACTACTTTGTCATCAAAACATCACTTGAGCACCCAATTTCAAACATGGAATCAATCCATAAATCAAGCAATCATTAGCCACACTTAGCACGCTACATCGACACAATATATCCTACAATTCCACTCCAAAGCTTGTTCATTAACAATCCATCGGACTAGCCATTATCACGGCTTATGACAAACCCTAACTCAGTCCTAAAACCAGCCACAATACGCCCATAAATCAGCCATTGTCACACACACATTGGGCACTAAATCAGCCCGCTAATCAAGCAACATTCGACCGTCACAACGCTCGCCATTTCCCACACATTTTAACCCACATTCCGCTCAATAGATTCGCCAACATCATCCCGCCGAACCAGCAATTGACTCAGCCAATAACAACCACTAAACAAGCCTCTAAACCATCATAAATCACCAACTAATCCAGCCATGAACAGCTCATATGATCAGCCACCAAATTAGTCCTTAATCCGCACTAATACACCCCTAAACGAGTCAAATAATACCCAAAGTCCTAGACGGAGTTTAGGGAGTCGCTTGAACCTCGGGCCTAAGCGAGAACAAGCCACGCAAGGGTGGCGAGGGGACTGGAACGACAACGGCGGCGGCCTCGGCTCGGTAGCGCAACTCCGGCGAACGCACGGCGACGGACTAGAGAGATTCCGCGAAGAAGAAGAGGAAGGGAAGAGGGAGAAAAGAAAAAGAAAAGAAAAGAAAAGAGAGAGAGAGAAGGAGGAGCGTGAGCGGAGGGGAAGGGACAGGGGGGACGTCTGCATGAGAGGGAAGAAATGGGGCAGGAGGAGAGAGAGAGAGAGAGAGAGAGAGAGAGAGAGAAAGCAATGATCGCGATCCAACGGTCACGATTCGAATCCGAAAACTATCCCACGGTCCACAAAAATCCTAATTATAATTTAGGAAAAAGGGCCAAAAGAAAATAACCCAAAACACACTACGAGGGAGGTCTACTAGTCCAAATTCGCACCCGGTCAAAAATCCACTTTCTCACTATTCCTGACAATCTCAACGCTGGCTACGATAATATTGACACCGTCCAATTTATTTCGTCCCGGAACTTCCAAGAAATTCGACACCAAAGTTTGGGCTCTAAATAACGGCCAAATTCGATCGAGTGCGATTCTAGCGAAATCTCAAGATTTAAAAATAATAACCGGGAGTGATCAGTTCCCGGGCGAGATTTTTACTATAAGCGCACTGACGAAATACCCGTTTTATAAATCCCAAAAATGGGCCAAAATTCGGAATGTCACAAAAGATACCTTCAGAAGTCTCGCTGCAAAGTCCTTATCTTTGGTAGCCCTAATCATCCATTTGAGTTCATTGTTCCATCTTCCTAAAGAACGCCGAATTCCGTATTGTGCAAGGATAGTACGCCAAATGCTTCCGGTTCTGGTGCACTGAAAGAATAGATGTTCTCTGCTTTTCAGACCACACATACAAAAATTACAATGGATATCTACTTTAGGTTTCCAACGTGATATGACTTCTCATGTTTGTAGTCTATCCCTACAAACTAGCCAACCGATGAAGTTATGCTTGCTTGATACCTCCTTTCCGGATCAATTTGAACCATTCCATGACCAGTCTCACACTCTTGGTTTCATCGTATACCTCTTGGCAACAATATCTTGGTCTAGATATGACCGAAGCAAAAGCCGATCTCAGTTGAAGAATACAACGCCAACTCCATGCCATAGCACCCTTTATTTCAAGCTGCATAATCGAATTGCGTCTACACTTGGTACTATGAGCCCATTTACTCCACAAGGAAGACGACGGACAATTTATAAGGTTCCAAAGCATACGGCCAAGCAAAACTTTGTTCCATAATTTTAGATGAGGCAACCCTAGACCTCCTTCCTTTTTTGATGAACAAACAACTTCCCAAGCAACTTTGTGTGATCCATAGCCTTCTGTATTTCCAGCCCATAAAAAATGTCTAATCTTCTTTTCAATTTCATATATAGTTTGCTTCAGAAGTAAAAACATTTGCATCCAAAAGGTACATATGGAAATAAGTACCGATTTGGCCAACTGGAGACGACTAGCGTAGCTAATATGTTGCATGCCCCAATTTGGCTTACCTAATTACTTGCTTTTACGGTTCTATTTTTTAAACTGATATCATTAATGAGTGTCCAAGGCAACTAATAACCAACCAAATGAAAGAATGCTGCAATTTTCATTATTAAAACATTCTCTATAAGCTATATTGAGTGTCATGGGAGCTCGTTAGCAAGTATTGGATCTTTTGGCTCCTAAACTAAAAGCCAAACACTAAAAGAAGACATATCTATTTGAAACTCCCCTACTCTTTCCAGAAAGAAAAACACTAGTATCTCTTTGATTTCAGGAAACACAACAAACACATACATAACATTAGGACCAGACATGGCCACGGTTCAAGAACCGGCGATTCCAGTTCATGGCCATGTATGAACCGGAACTGGCAGGTTCCGATTCCAGATTCTGCCAGTTCCGAACCTGGAGTGTCCGCTGCTCGGGAGCCGATTGTACGGGTGCATCGAATCCGGCGGCGGGATGGCACGTCGGATCTTCTTCTTCTTCTTCTGCTCCTCCCTCGCGCGCTCTCTTTCCCGCTGGTCGGATCGTCACATCGCTGGCGGAGTTGCCGTGGATTCTCTCGTGCTCGCGCGCTCTCTTTCCCACTCGTCGGATCGTCACATCGCTGGCGGAGCTGCTGTGGATTCTCTCGCGCTCGCGTGCTCCTGAGTTTCGATGCTTCATTCAGTTCGTTGTGGTTTAGACTCTGGAGAGAGAGAGAGAGAGGGAGGGAGGGAAGGACTTCCGGACCTGGGCGTCGTCTCGGTCTCTCGAAGGCTCCTTGCATCCGCGCATCGCGATGGCGATCGATAAGCCGGCGCTCGCAGCTCCTCCATCGTCACCGCCGCCAGGGATTAGCTCCATCGGCGCCGCATCCGCGCCACATCAGTCACAATAGAGGCTAGAGAGAGGGAGAGAGCGGGAGAAGTTCCGGTTATCTTTTTATTATTAATTTTTTTATTTTATTTTTGCCAGTTTCCAAGGCAGCCTGCAAAGGCTACCTTGGCAACGGGCCGCAGCAGGGCCTGCAGACGTGCAGGCCCTGCTACAGGTTTTTTTTTTATATTTAAATTATTTAATTTTTTTTTTGGAACCGGGCCCGGAACCATCGGTTCTGGGCCGGTTCCAAAATTGCTGGAACCGGAACCGGGCTCGGTCAACGGGCCGGGCCCGGGTTTGACCGGGCTGGTTTCGGGCCGAAACAGGCCCGTGGCCATGACTAATTAGGACAGTTTGGTTGATGTCATTGACACGAACAAATATATGGCTGCATAATTTGTTCAAAAGCCTCGACATGAATGAGTGCATTCAGGCAGGCTTCTATGGAGGGACACTAAGGTCTTGTTGTGGAGGAGGTGGTCCATACAACCTCAATACATCAGCAATATGTGGTCACACCGGCTCAACTGCCTGCAAAGATCCATCGGCTTTCGTGGATTGGGATGGGATTCACTTGACCGAGTCTGCTTATCATCACATCGCCAAAGGGTTGATTGATGATGGCTTCACGTCTCCACCGCTCCTATTGTAATTTATTTACTGGCATTACACGTTCATTTAGACAGTTGCATCTATTGAAGATCACTTGCACCTTTCCGAAATGATGAAGTTTGATTTGTTACACAAATTAATATATCAGACATATGTGTCGTTTATAAATTGATCTTTTTAGTTTACACCCTACTCATCTATTCAAGTTTATTATGCTCGATGTTTTCTGATATTAACATGTTGAACGTAATGTAGGCTAGGTTCACTGGTTGAAAAACGAAAGGATCCATAAGCTCAAATATGTATATAAGGATGAGAGTTGATGATCATCTTGGCGTTGACACCGGTCTTCATCATCACCATCGGGGATTGTCTCCGTAGATGCAATATCAGTCTTGGTCATTTGATACATGACTCATTGAGACTCGAAGGTAGTCATGGCCACGGGCCGGTTTCGGCCCGGTCAAACCCGGGCCCTGCCCGTTGACCGGGCCCGCGGTTCGGAACCGGAATCGGCCCATGGCCTACGGGCCCGGTTTCGGTTCAAAATTTGTTTTCGGGCCCGGTTCCAAAAAAAAAATTTAAAAATAAATAAATAAATAAAAAACCCTGCAGCAGGGCCTGCATGTCTGCAGACCCTGCTACGGCCTGTTGCCAGGGCAGCCTTTGCAGGCTGCATTAGCAACGGGCAAAAGTAAAAAATAAAATTAAAATTTAAAAAAATTAAAAAGATAATCGTTGCAAATTGCAACGGTTATCTAGCTTTTTTTTTTATCCTAAATTTTCTTCTCATTTTTTTTCTTATAAATTCTCTAAAATTCTCTCATATTCTCTCAATACTCTCAATTCTCTCAAATTCTCTCAATACTCTCAAATTCTCTCAAATTCTCTTCTCTCAAATTTTCTCAATACTCTAAATTCTCTCAAATTCTCTTAAATTCTCTCAATTTTCTCAATTCGCGCAATTCTCTCTTAATTCTCCCAATCAATCCGCTCAATTCTCTCAATCCACTCGAAAAATGGCAAGTGAAAGTCGAGTGCCAACTGGCAAAGGTAAGAATATCATGACGGAATCCCATCATTCTTTTGATCCTTGTGATTATGTAGATTTTGAAGATGATGAAATCAACATTTTTCCAGATGTGGAGCGCGTCCCGAAGCAAGAAAGTCTTCATCCTCTTGCCGAAATTTCTACAACAAAGGAAGCGGAGCGGGAACTTACATTTGACATTTGGGATCACTTCACAAAAATGGAAAGGTTTGATATTGGTCAAAAAAGGTATGATATAATTTTTAAACATTGTGGAAAAATATATAAATATACAGGTGGACAAGGATATGAAATATTCAAACGACATCTTAGGAGCAAACATCCAACCCAAGCGAGAATCGATATCAGGCAACAACAAATTTCTGGGTACGTCAATCCTAACACTTCCCCTTTATTTCATTTTAATGAAAAACTTATAAGGAAGAATTAGGTAAATTTGTTCCCGTTGAGCATTTATCATTTAATTTTGGAGAAAGATTTGGTTTTAATCAATTTGTACAAAAAGCATGTGCTTCACAAGCAAAACGTGTTTCTAGAAATTCACTTAAACGAATAATTAAAAATCTTTACAAAAATGGAAACAAGGATTTACAAAACTCTTTTATGCAATTTAATGGATGCGTGCATATAGGTAGTGATATTTGGAGTGATCATTGGCAAATGCATTCTTACATGGGCATAACATGTCATTGGATAGATGACGATTGGAGTATTCAAAAAAGAGTTATTGCATTTAGAGTTTTCGATGGTAAGCATACGGCAAATAATATTTATAGAATGATTAGGCCAATTTTAGAAGAATATTATTTGCTTAACAAAATTTTTCAATTGGTTTGGATAATGCCGCGGCAAATACCGCTTCAATTGCCAATTTAGAAAATATTTGTAAACCCGCTTTTGGCGGAAAATTTTTTCACGTTAGATGTGCTTGTCATGTTTTAAATTTATGTGTACAAGATGGTTTGAAAACTCTTGATATTTTTCTTGAACCAATAAAAACGGTGATTCAATTTTTATGGAAACATCCCCAAAAAATGAAAGAATGGGGTAGATTTTGTAGAGAAAATGCCAAAAAGCCAAAAAGATTTCCAAGAGATGTTCCAACTCGTTGGAATTCTACTTTCCACTTGCTTAGTGAATTTTATGAATATAAAGATTTATTATGTGCATTCATTTCTAATAATATACCTTAGATTAATTTATACCCACAAGAGTGGGATATTTGCAAAATTTTTTTAGATATTTTAAAGGTTTTTAATGATGCAACTTATACTTTGTCCGGTGTTTATTATCCTACTACGCATTTATTTTTAGTAGAGTGTATTAATATTGTCGGAGTTTTTGAGGAATATGAAAATGATATTGAATTACAACATACTATAGTAACAATGAAAATGAAGTGGCTACATTATTATAGCGAAATTCCCATTATTTATTTAGTTGCTTGTGTTTTTTATCCGCGCTGTAAATTAGATGGTTTAAGTGATTATTTGCATATGTATTATCAATATTTACATTATCATACAGTAAATGTTACAACCATACTAACTGAGGTTAAAAACGTAGTAATAGAATTATATAATGAATTTTATACTAAATATAATTTAAGTGATATTGGATGTTCTCAATCTACCGAGACACAAAATGAGAGTACAGGAAAAATTAGTAGAGGGTACCAACTTTTATTACATAGACAAAAAAAAATAAAAGGGAGTAATAGGAAATATTTCTGAATTAGAGATTTATCTAACTGTTTCCTTTGAGTTTACTCAATCCGAAGGTAGTACAGGTTTTTTAATTTTGGATTGGTGGAAGAGGCACCCAAGCCAATACCCAATCCTTTCTCTTATTGCAAAACAAATTTTTGCAACCCCTTGTTCCACAGTTGCGATCGAACAAGTATTCAGTGCTGGAGGTAATATTTTGGACGAACATCGTTCAAGAATAGCTCCAGAATCAGTGGAGGCTCAAGCTTGTGTTGATGATTGGATGAAGGCTCAATACCGACAATAAGAGATAGATCGGAATAATGAATCCGAATTCTTTAACGACGGAGATACCACCGGTACCGGTACCGGTACCTCTACCGGAACCGGAACGGGTAGCGACGACTGAGGATCAAAGAACTATTGGAGTTGGCAAATATTTCGGGGACCCTTGTTTCTCATACCGGGCATGCCCACGTGAGCTTAGGGAAACCGAAGTATAATCCGACGACATGTGACCCCTGTGCACGGAATGCGGGGGTTCGGATAGGCTTAGGTTTTTGGGTCATTTTAGGGCATATATATTGTGCTCCTTTTTTTTTATAGATCATTGTAACGAATTGTAAAGCGCTTAATGATAATTTATTAAGTTCACGCCCCCTCATTCTCTCTTTTTGTCCCCAAATTTGATTACAATTTATATTGAATAATTCATTATTTCATAATTTCATTATTTTTTTTATTTCATAATTTTTTTTTAAAATTTTAAATTATGAACCGGAACCGACAGGAACCGGAACTGGCCCGGAAGGAACCGGCCCGGAACCGGAACCGGACCGGAACCGGCCCGGAACCGTCCGGTTCATACATGGCCGAGAACCGGAACTGCCGGTTCCTGGACCGTGGCCATGTCTACCCGAAGGACGACTACTACTTGACCGAGGATGATTTTGCGATTTCGACCCATATCCTCTCAACATTTTTGCTTCCTCTTTAATATATGGGCATCGACCTTGCTTTTACCAAGCACACTGTTTTTCATGCACTCCAGTTCATCATTTTTTATTTCTTTCTCTTTTTTTTGTTCTATTTTTTTCTTTTTTTTCCAACATTTATATCTATGAGCATTGGCCTTACTTTTACCAAGCACACTATTTTTTCATGCCCCTTATTTTTCATTTTTTTTCCTTTTTTCATTTGTTTATATACTTGACTTATGGAATGGCCTAGACAAACTTAAACAATAGAATGCTATTAGACTCTTGGGTCTTTATCTTCACTTGGCACTCCGAACCGTGATGCTTGAACAGTGGTGGCATTTGCCTTGCCCCAGTGTGGGGAATGATCACCAACAAGATTCATATGAAACGTAATTACAGGCTCAATTGGGCTGTGCAATGCACATAAGTGTGTAGGATAAAGAAAGAAATGCTTTTTGTTATCCTAAGGCACTTGAATTTCCGTACAAGTTCATATGCAATAAAGACACTCAGAGATTCATGCAAGTGAGAGCAAGAAAATTTTCACCCATTTGATCACCTCATGATGGCAACTTACTTCTGATTTGCCTCGATGTAGGGTGGTTTTTGACAGGGTTAATATGAGAAAAAAAAACTTCAAAAGTGTTTGAGCTCAAGATGGTTAAGCAAAGGATAACTTGTAGTATTTGGGATAGAGGAATGAAATGCCTCTCATCACTTGAGTTGTCTTACCTTTTGGGAGATAACCTTTACCTTACAGGCATGGAAATCTCCGCTCGCCTCACAGGGGATTGGTGTATGGGACAGTGTATGGAATTTGGCTTGCCTTTCATCATTCCGACACGTCTCATTTAGCATATTCAAGCATTTCCCCACCATTCATTGACTTGTCTATTTTGATGATCTTTAGTGGAATTAGTGACTTAAACAGATAAAATCATCCATCAAAATCCCTTTTTCAAAAGACATGGACATTTTGAATTTGCCATTCTCATGTACAAGACAGTTCATAACCTCATAACGACCAATAATCAGACATGACTTTGAGCATTTGTTCAAAGGATTATCCCTACAAGAAATGCTAGACATAGAAAGATTATCTCTGAAGCAATTGTTCATGGATTGCATCTATTTGGAGGGAAATGGCATATGAATCGATCGAGGAGATTAGAAGTCTGATCCTCAGCTTGATAATTGATGCATCTCTACCTTTGCCCCCACAGCAAAGTCTAGCATGCCCTTCATTTCATCATCTTCTCTCCTTCTTATTCTTCTTTGGTTTTTAAAATCTAACTTGGAAAAG